TGTGACTCTGCTTTGAGATCAGCCCTTTTAAGTTTGCAGTGCCACAGTGGCACTGGGTTCTACTGGACATTCTGTACACTGAACTGGTTGTTCTGGGCTTGAAAAAATGTTCCCCTTCAGTTTGTACTGCCGGAAGTCTCTGGTTTGACATTAGTCCTCTTTTACTTACATTGCTACAGTGGCACTGGGTTCTGCTGGGCATTCTGCACATTAAACTGGTTGTGCTTGCAACCCCCCTTGCTTTGATCATGATTCTGTACTTCACATCAGTCCTGTTGAGCTGGCATTGCCACAATGACACTGGGTCCTGTTGGGCACTCTGATTGCACTGGTACTGCTGGGCACTTTGTACATTGCACTGGTTCTGCTGGGCTTGCAAAAATGCCCCCCCTGCAGTTTCTACTGCAGAGATTCTCTGGTTTGACCTTAGTCCTGTTGGGTTTACACTGCTGCAGTGGCACTGGTTCTGTTGGACACATTGCAGTGGTTCTGTTGGGCAAAAAAATGCCCCTCCACCAGTTTCTACTGCAGAGATTCTCTGGCTTGACTTTAGTCTTGGTTGGTTTGCGCTACCACAGTGGCACTGGTTCTGCTGGGCACATTGCACTGGTTCTGTTGGGCTAGCAAAAATGCCCCCACCTTCATTTTCCACTGCAGAGATTCTCTGTCATTTTGATTCTGCTCTGCTGGGCTTCTACTGCTCTTGCTTTTTTGCTGTTCCCTCCCCCATTGGAAACAATGGAGGATAGGGGCACCTTCTTTGGGGAATGTAACTCAGACCCCGTAAATCCAATCCTCAGCAAATTTGGAGGGCAGGTAGAGTCAGCCAGAGATACCTTGTGAGTTTGGCATATCTAGCACGGGGGTGTGTGTGTGTGTTCTACCACACCATGAACCTCACGAACTGAACCAGTTTGTTTGGCTCTTACAAGTTCATGTCAGTTTGTGATCTGCAAACCAGGCATGCCATGAACTGAACTGCATTTTCCCAGTTTGTGCCCATCCCTATTAGATGGGGTTGCCAGCTTTGGCTTGGGAAATACCTGGAAACTTTGGGAATGGAGCCTGGGGAGGGTGGGCTTTGGGGAGGGAAGGGACCTCAGCAGGGCATAATGCCCTCCAAAGCAGCCATTTTTTCCTGGGGAACTGATCTCTCTAGAGATTAGTTTTAATAGCGGAAGATCTCTAGGCTACACCTGAAGACTGGTGACCCTATGATTAGATCTTGAAGGTTGAGCAGGCTGATTCTAAGCTATTGAAGGTCTTTGTAGGTCAGTTGAGATGTGACTGGAAAGAATTTGGAAGTAAGCGCACAACTTTTTAGACTTTTTATCTTATCCCTTTTTTCCTCACGTGAGGGTTCCTTTTCCATATCTGATTCCATTTGAATTGCTTTTGCTGATTTACAAATATTTACACGCTATCACTCTTTATTATTATTATTTTGTCTTTGCATTCCTTCTGGTCTGCTGCATTTTTCAGCTACTCATATGCTTACTAAGCCTAACATTTCCTTGTTGATTGCTCATCTTCATCGTTTTGCTTTGGCTGCAATCGACCATTGGAATTTTGTTGCCTGTGGGCATTCAATCTCCTCTTGTGTTCTTTTATTTTTAAAAAGTTGCAAAATGAGTTTGTCCAAGACTGCACTTCCTGACTGATTTTCTTGTACTTGCATTCTTGGTTTTATCTTTCTTGCCTGACTTTTTCAATTATTTTGTTTTATGCGGCTTTTCTTTTTTAAACTATAAAAAATCCACAAGCAGGCTTTATTTTTCAATATATTTCATACAAAACGGAGTGATTATAGGCATACAGTAAGTAATACATTATTTTATTTTTGGTGGCAATTCACATTCCCAAACCTATCTCCTATAGCATTTTTCTCAGTAAGCAGATTCTGCTTTGTCATATTGAGTTTTGAAGCCATTATTTTTGACAACTGTACTAAAATGCAAAAGCAAGCCTCACAAGGTTAAATTGAGCTTTGCTTTATAGGACCATATATAAAACAAAGTTTCTCACACACTTCAGAACAACCAAAAAATGAAAGAAATGGGGGGTGCCCTATGGAGAATGCAGTATGCTGGGTTTTCATGGCTGGGGTCACCAGAGCAGGCCCACAGCCATGGTGGGACATTTGGGGGTGGCACCCCACCACTGACAAACCACTCATGTTTGTTGCCTAATCAGCAGGGTTACCAGGGCTTTTTTTTTAAAGTAGTCTGGGGGAGCAAGTAGACTAGGAGGATGAGTTGTTCTGGCTTCTGGGTAGAGCTCATTTTGGAAGCATCTAACATTCTTTGCCAAGTATTTCAGCCCTAACCACATTCCTTTCCCCCCATTTCCATCCTGCCTTCTAATGGGTCCTGTTCCCCACCACCACCCACCCAAACTGTTATAATTTTATCCCGTTCAAAGCACTCTTGGTGGATCAGATCAGATACAGTCTGGAGAACACCACAGCAATGCTAAATAGCAAGATATAAACAGAAATGTGTTGTAATCCTTTTATTTGTTTACTGACATAAACTTTGTAGGGCCCCTCCCATGCACATGTTTGCTGGAGGGCCCTCTGTTAGCACCCGCTAGGAAAAGAAGCAAGGAGAACATTTAATGTTAATATTAGAAGCTAAGGAGACACTTCCTAGAAGAGGCAAGGGCATCCGTAGGCTGACAGGTTCAATCGGCAAGTGAAAAAACATGTCCCTTAGCAATGCAGTCAATGTTGATCTCAGGGTCAATGGAGAGCTTAAGTAAGATCCCCCAAAGCATCAAGCTGGATACTGCATTGTGGAATGTGTTGACATTAGCTCAAGGAGAACATTCGCCCAAAGGAGCAAAATTAATCATTGCTCTTCTCTGGAGAAGCCATTCAGAAGTTTGAGTGAACATTTCTCATCATGCTGAGAATGATCTCCTCCCCCCCATCCTTCCACACCATGGCCCTTATTCCAGTCAAGGTCCACACAAATGGTATTTACCAATTTTTAAGGAGATCCTGTGATGGTTTTCCTATCATGTCATCTAGTTAGATCCTTAGGGTCTCTGAGTAATTAATTTTATGGCACGTCAATGTCTTATTCCAGCCCCCATTCCAGCAAGAAAGATGTTATGAAGCCAGAAACATGTATCTGTCACTAACAGCCACGTGAGCTATGCCACACTCTTACTAAAGAGTTGCTGCCACATAACATATTTTATTACTTGTCCTTGGCTTCAAAAAAGATGAGAACAAGGTACCAATAAATTGATAGTCTCCCCCCCCATTTACTAATAAAAAGGTTCCAGAAAGCAATTTCCCTATAATAAAAATGTATCTGTACTTGATTGATACAATGAAACTGTGATTTTTCTCTATACATTTGGATATTCAGTTGTTTAGAAGAATGAAATCAAATGTTAGAGAAAAGAGATTTGAAAATGTATTACTGTTAAGGGTGTTCGTACTTGTATTTATTCAGAATAATTGGAGGGTACTTGCTGTCGATTTGCTATGTGGAGAAAAAGAATGAGCAAAGCTCACGTAGAAAGTACTCTTGGACCAGGTCCTTATAAATGGCTGTTGTATGGAACCGGGCAGAGTGGTATTGGTGCAGACAACGGGAAGATCTCACTTCTGATCAGCTAAGATTCCAGAACTGCCAGAGAAGTTGCTCTCAGTCTAACAGGATGTATTTCTTTGTGCTCTGTCTTTCCTTGTACTTTAACCTTTTTCACTTTTTCAGTCTCCTTGGTCTCTGATCTTTCTAGCTGCCTGCCAACCTCTGCCTGGCTTATCTGTTCCAATTGTTTGATGTTCTCGGACGATTGTCTTATGGCTTCTCTAGGGGCAACTGACATACCTGCTCTCATGACAAAGAGGCAGATCAGTTTTGAACCAGGCACCTGAGTTCTAGGGAAAATTGGAAAGGACTGGAATGCCAAGTCCATGGGTAACTTTCAGGAGATACAACAAATTAATTCAGTGATTGTAGAGCCTTGTGTTGGAAACAAATATGCAACACTTGCTGCTTTTGGCATGCAGCCCCATCCTACTGAACTTTTGGGACTGAAAAGGAGAACCATTTTCTATTTTCACTCAAAATTCTCTGTACATATCTGTGGCACAACTATTTCCATCTTGAAAACTACTTCCAAGATTATTGGAACAAACCACATCTGGGGAGCTTCTTTTCAGTTAGATCCATATAATCCTAGCATAAAATACCTTTTCCTAGCACCCTAGTCATAAATACAGTACTTAGAAGACCCACTGAAATTGGTTGGATATATTTCCAAGGAAGGTGTATGCTGCAAATATGTGGTGTTTCAAAAAATTAAATTACATCTCAAGCATTAGTGTTGTTAAAGCTGCTCTTTTTGCTTTATCTACTTGGCAGTATCTATAGTTCTCCAGTAGAGAGTTCGTAAAAATGTAAGTGAGGCTATTTCAGTGAATGGAATCCACCTCCAAGACTGCATGTGGCCTGCTGATTGGCATGATATGTTTTGATACACAGTAATGGGCAGAATTGAGTGCAATCATATTCTGCTATACAATTCACATTGGTTGAAATCTTGCTGTTGCAGCTAATGGATGTGCTATACCTCAAATACTGGGTGTTAAATGCTTCAGTTTCCCCTGCTTTCCAGCAATTCCTATAGGAATCTTTTCAGAATTGTTCACAATATGATACATATCCCTTGGATGAAAAGTTCATAGAACTTTGCCCCTTTAAAGTTCCATGTGCTGGAACAACACTGGTGCATCCTGGAACTGTCTGGAATGACTTGTAATGGATGTTTATAAAAAATACTCATAGCTCATGTGAATCCTTTCAGCATCGATATTTAACATAGGACACATGACTATTATTGTTGTAGAAGCATTGCTGGAGTAAACCCATGGAACTGGGAGAGAAGAAAAGTCCCATGTTCTCTCTTCCTCTGGTTCATTGGTGTCTGACAAAATTGATGTCTGACACCTGGAAGGTAATGTTATGTCACTCTCCAAGCATTCAGCAATACAAGATCTTGAGGAAAGCTTTGCGGAACTCGCTGTTGAAGGTGGTATAGATGATGGGGTTGAGGGCACTGTTTACATAGCCAAGCCATATAGTGGCTCCATACAATTCTGGGGAGATGTGACAGGCTTGGCAGTGGGTGTTCAATATATGTGTTAAGAAGAATGGCAGCCAGCAGACTATGAACGTCCCTAGGATTAAAAGAGAATGAGAGTTCATCATTACTTTTGCTCAGCCCAGCTCTAAATTCTTCCTCACACAAATTGCATATCCCAAGTCACCCTCCTGTGAGCTAACTCAGATGATCAGACTGGCACATTGAAAGTACATGGTGAACAAAACTCTGCAGAGTTTTGCATTACAGTGGAGGTATCGTGATTGCCATTCACCCTTTCAGATTCTTTTGGCTGTTTCTTAGAACCAACGTGGTAGAATGGCAGAGCGTTGGACCAGAACTGGGGAAAGGCAGGTTCAAATCCCCCACTCTGCCATGAAACTCACTGACAGTGTCATCCTCCACAGTGGAGTTATGCCTTTCTAAGTCCACTGAAGGCAGTAGGCTTAAAGGGATGTAACATTCTGCCTTAGAATGACACTCAGAGGGTTGTTCTGATCATGAAATGGAGGAGAGTAGAACCACGTGGCCATGAGCTACTTGGAGGAAGGACAGGATAAAAACAAATGCCATAGATTTGTGCTCATGTGTGGATGTTCTTGAAGGAGGAGTAAAAGTGGAAGAGAATGATTTAAAAACAGAGCACACACATTACTTTTACACTTGAATTACCGAATGTACTTCCAAAGGCTTTGTTTAGTGTCAACTATTAAATGCTCTTCTAGAGCCACTCATCAGCCTGCTTTCAGCGCAGAGTGGCACAGTAAAATGTGGGGTTAAGATCAACCTAAATGCATGGTGAAGCAACCACACAACCATAACTGACATATTTTAAAAAAATCTGACTTAGCTAAGTGAACTATCCCTAACGTTTACAGGGGACAATCTATCACCAGCTATTAGCCATGACAGACAATCTTCCAAAGCAGTATCTCACTGAATACCAGTCGCCTGGGAGGGGCATAGTGAAAGCGGTCTGTGATAGCTTGTTGACCACAGTAGGATACAGGAAACTGGATTAGAGGGATCTGTAGTGGATTTTAACGTTTTGTGTTTTGACATAGTAAGCCTCAGAGTTTGCTTTTAGGTTTTTGTGTAAATCTGCAAAAGTGCATTTTTCACTGTCCTAGCTAATTTATAATTTTCGGAATTGAGAAGAATGACATATGAATCGATGGCTTTATGCCCAGAATAAATCCTAGAACAAATGGAACTGAGATTGCAACAATTATTCTTTGGAGCGCTCAGAGGTGTCTAACATCATGCCTTTGGAGAGAACAAATCAGACAGTTGAATAAAGTCATGTGAGGCTCATGTACTTATGTCTACATAAGATAAAGGTAAAGGTAAAGGATCCCTTGCTCGAAAGCCAGTCGAATCCGACTCTAGGGTTGCGGTGCTCATCTCCGTTTCAAAGCCGAAGAGCCAGTGCTGTCTGAAGACGTCTCCGTGGTCATGTGGCTGGCATGACTAAACACCAAGGCGCACAGAACCTTCCCACCAAAGTGGTACCTATTTATCTACTTGCAATTTCTTGCTTTCGAACTGCTAGGTTGGCAGGAGCTGGAACTAGAGACGGGGCACACCTTAAAATCCTGAATCACATAGACCTGGTTTATGGTGAGAATCTCTTATCTTTTCTGAAAAGACTTGTTAAGAACTTTAGAAACTGCATTTTAAAATGGTAGGTAGGAGAAAGGATGACATATATGCATCCTTATTTATAATCTCATTTATGTATTCTAGTGTTTTCACTATGATTGTGATGTTTATTTTATCTGTTCAAAGATAACTAGGGCAATTTAAAATAAAGTTCTTAAAAGGCAACCCTGAGGGATCATTGGCTAGAGCAGAAGATTTTCACCAAGACATGAAATAAATAAACTTCTGACCTCTTTGGTCAGAAGATGGGTACCTGTGCAGAATCATAATTGAAAAGACTGATTCATCTTCATAAAGCCTCATGGGTAATGCATTGCTTTGAAACAGGCAGACTTCTGGTTTCCAAGTGCCTGTTTTAAGCAATGACCACACACACACACACACACACAGGTGGCAGAAACTCCATAACAGATCCTTGCTTTGATGCAGTAGGGGTTTTTCTTTATTCTTTTGAATTCAAATTTGCAAGCATTTATGTGAGTTTATCCAATATAGATTTTGCATAGAAGATGTATGTAAAGTCACCCAATTTTTTAAAAGTCAGAACTGCATGGAGAAAAGGCTGCATTATTACTTCCATGCCTGCTGTTTCTGCCCTTACAAGCTGTTTTTCAACCTATAGCAGAAAACACACAATACCCATATTGTTTTCCCCATGGGTGGAAAAGGAGCTGTGTATCAGCTTTGAGTAGGAAAGCAGATGAGAGTTACTTAGCTCACCACACTCCTCTTTCAACCAAATCCACAGCAGCTTGCCATTAAAAACAAGTTAGGAAGCTGTAATGCATGTCTCCCTTGCACCATCTCCTTTGAGCCTTAATTGCTCTGCAAACTGCTCTTTCGAGGGGGAGGAAATGTCTCTACTTACCCAGAACTATAGCTAGCATTTGGGTGGCCTTCCTCTCTCGGAGCTGTATTATCCGATGCTGCTGGGATGGAAGTCTCAAGGAGGTTGCCGTTTGGCCATTGTTGAGTTTGCGCACTTCTAAGCAGGAGGTTTTCCTCCTGATCTTCAGGTCAATAGCCTCTTTATCCTCCACAGTGGAGATGGAAGCTTCATGACAGAAACTGCAGTATTGCTGCAATTCAGTTGGTGTCAGAGGCTTCTTTTCAGTAGACAGTTTCTGGTCAGAACTCTTCAGCTGCAAGCAACATGAGAGGGCATCCGGAGGCCTCTGGTGTAAAGCTTTTATCTCTGTATGTTGCTGAAAAACAAGAGGCCACAGTCAAGACAGGAACACATTTATGATCTATGACGCCTCATAGAAGAAGGCTCTGACAAGCCCTTCCTTTTCAATACCTAGGTGAATGGGTTCAATCAATAAAAGCAAAGGTAAAAGAGTTGGGGAAGTTTTAGTTTAGAAAAAAGATGACTAAGCGGTGACAGGATACAATTATGCATGGTCTGGAGAACATGGAGAGAGAGAGAACGCTTTTCTTCCTCTCCTGTAATGCGAGAATTCAGGGGCATTCAATGAACTTGACGGGGAGTAGGGATGCTACTTATCCAGGGAAACTGCACATTTTGCCACAAACACATTTAATTCTCAAACTGACTGTATCTGAGAGTGGTGATCAGATGTGAACAAATCACTCAGTCTGTGTGGTTCATGATGAGCAGCTAGAAATGCCTGCCAAATCGATTTGTGTTAGGTTCTCCCAAAACTATACTTATGCAAAGACACTGCCGATTCAAACTGATCTGTAGCCATTAGCTCCACTAAGGACTTTGTAGATGGACAGCAAAGGGCCTTCACTGATGGCTGATCTATATGATTTGTGAGTGGTTGGATGAGTGATTTAATTGTCTATTTAAACAATTAATAGAGCTCTATCGGGCTGTGTGAGAATGCATGTGAAAAGCCAATTGTGCTGTAAGGAATATAGTAAAACCAACCTGTAAACACTGAGGAACAGATGGATGAACTATCAAACTGATTGTCAAAAAAAGAGGTCTCTGTTCACAACCAGAGAACAGGATGCAAATCCAACCAGCCTCCCTGGAGAGGTTGTTCTATAATCACGGGGCTGCCATTCAAAAGGCCTTCTCTCATGTACCCACAAAACAAGTTTATTTGATTGATGAGATAGTCATGAAGGGTTCTCACTATGATCTTAATTCCTGGGCAGAAACATATGGTTGAAGACAGTCCTTCAGATAAATAAAACAGCAGTCCAGTGGCACTTTAAAGACTAACAATTCATTGCAGCATAAGCTTTCATTAAGCTTGCATCATCACATCTAGACACTGGGCATCTGTTTTGTCTCTGTGCTGTGGCCTAACATGGCTACCCATCTGGAATTATCTATCATGAAATGGTGTCCATACCAAGCTTGTGCTTATTGTGAAGTCAGAAGCTTCCAGCCAGTGGAGTGAAGCTTTATACCTTCATTTTATTTCCACAATGTTGTAAAAACTGCACAGCTGGCAGTATATTGAAGTAGGGGACCTAGAGTATTTGTACAGCATGAAAGCTGCAGGGCAGAATTATTGGCACTGATACCGTTGTGTGGCAGCTCTCATTGGGGCAGGCTTAGAAGACCTGATATTAGAACACTTGCATTCTAAAGAATGTATGGCTCCACTGAAATTAGCAGTGAGAAGGATTAGTCATAACCCAAATTAACAGTTGAGGCTACGTGTTAGGGTTGCCAAGTGTATCTTCGCCGGGAGCGGGGGGCTCCCAGCCGGTGTCTTGTGCGTGCGCGTGCTTCGCGCGTGCCGCACACATGTCACCCGGAAGTGATGGAAGGACACCAGGCACACTGGGGGCAGGGCCACGGCCATATAAGGGAAAACCATAGAGTTTTCCCTTGTATGGCTGTGGCCCCGCCCCCAGCGTGCCTGGCGTGCCCACGTCACTTCCTGGTGACGCGCACGCGGGGGTGGGGTTCCCCCGGGGCCTGATTCCGCGGTGGTGGAAATCGGGCCTCCAAAGCGGGGGTTTACCCGCCACCCGCCACCACTTGGCAGCCCTACTACGTGTACTTTTAAAACTCTGACTGCCTGAGCTATCTTGGTCATGAGCTCTATGAAAATGCTAATGATCATCTGTGATCCCAATGGAGATTTATGCTGTCTCATTAATCCCATTTAGGGTTACAAATCTTAACTAATAAATAAAATATCTGCTCCCCAAAGTAACTAATAACATTAGTGGTTTTAAGGAAAGTAATTTCTTTTCCTAAAGCTTGTTACTGCAGAATGGAGTCATTCCTGTTAGGAGACAGATGGTAAGTTTTTGTTATTTCCCCCCAAATATTTGAAATAAGCACGATAAAGCCATCATTGCTTGTGTCATGACTGGCCATTCCTTTTATTTAAAATATTTGTATCCTACCTTTACTTTTCAGAGCCTAGGGCACCTAACAATATATTGGTTTGGATCTCACAATCTGTTGGCAGGTGGTGTTGAAGGTTGCTGATCTTCCATTCCCCACAGCAGCCATTTCTGACCTGGGAAAGTTTATTCCCAGGATTGCAGGATTCCTGTGGAGTAACAGTCACACAGGTGAGAAGGTTGCCGTGTGTGTGTGGTGTGAGACAGGGGCAAAATCATTCCCTCCTGCCTCTGCAGTGAGTGCGGCTCAGCTGATGGAAGGGGAAGAAGGGAGTGATTATGCCCCCTCCCCCACAGCAGCCTCTCAGCCCATTTGGTTATTCCACCACATGAGTCCTGTGACTCTAGGATTAAACTCTGGGGAGCTGTGAAGGGGAAGTGGGGAAGACTGGCAGTCCTTATTTGGTTCTCACAAGGTCTGTGTAGTGGTTTGGATCCATTGTAGAAACCTAACTAATTAAAGAGCAAACCAGCCTACATACTAAAGCAAAACAGCTTGTATGTATGTATACATTAAATATGTATAATCCCATTATAAAAAAAAAACCATGGAAATTACAGTTTTGACAGTCATTCTTCTAAAACCCTGAAGTGAAGGAATCGCATGAGTTTCCACAGGTTGCTCTTTCATTAAGAACAGATCTATTATTTAATGGACCTAGAAGCCTGGGAGACACAGGAAATGACTGAATATGCCATAGGCATTGACTGTTTAAGACTAAACTGCATGTTAGATGAGAGATGCATGTATCCATCTCCTATTTTTTTAAAAAAATGAAAAACAGCTGCAGGATGCTGTGATCAGCAGTGGAAGAATGGTAGACAGAGCTGGTCTACTTAACCCTTCCCCTTTTAGCCATCTTTCTGCTTCAAATCACTCCCCTGTCTCCCTTGCCTTCTTCAGGAGAGATGATATGGGCATTCTCATCATTGCAGATGGAAAAGCCTAATTTTGAGGGAGGAAGTGGTCACGGGAAAATTACAAGCAAGCTTCCCACTACCATTTCTCTCCTCCTGATTCTAGTGCTATCAGCAACTTTTCCTTTTTTAAAATGGAAACATCTAGTGTGGCCTTATGTTATATCATTCCAGCTCTCTTAAAACATCCCATCCGACTTCAACTTAAGAGGCTCAGGTAGGAGGTGCTGTGAAAGACCTCTCCCTGAGACTCTGGAAAGCCATTGAGGAGAGAATAGTGACCCAAGGCAGCTTCGTGGGTGTTCAAGAATCTAAAACACTACTCAGAAAGATTACTATCCTGTTGTATTTTCTGCAGACTAATGCCACACTCTATTGAGACAGAGTGAAATTATAGGTACACAGTCTACAATTTTCATTCTTTGAGTCCTCATCAAATAAGTATTTACACACCCAGAGGATTGCAGTTCAGAAAATTGAGGTGCTTTCTTTTTCATGGCAACATGTCTCAACTCCTGTCCCTGTATAAGGGCAGAATGAAGCAGTGGGACATTCAGACTGAATTTCAGTGAGCATGCAGGTCACCATTTGACAAAATATTCAAACTGAGTAAGAGGGGATTGTGTATGGTACACTAGCAGTGACTGTTATGAGCCAAACAGATGAGAGCTGAAATGTACAGTACCCATAGAGTGACTGAGCGAGGCAAGGGAGGCAATGGGGGAAGGAAGGATAAAGTAATACAATGGGGAGCTAGAAGCTGGGAGTACTGGAAGTGAATAGCAGAGGGGTCATCCAGGGTGGGATCTGACAACCAATAATTTGGGGTAGGGTCAGAAAATCTAACCAGTATTGAAAGAGGGACACAGTTCTGTACCATTTTGGAAGCCCTGCTTTGACAAGTTAGTGCATGGCCGTACTTGCTGTTTATAACAGGCTTTGACACGCTGACTGCCTTGTCTTGTGAGGACTCGCTTCCGTTGTCTTTGCCTCAGCACGATGTAAATCCGGACATATAGCAGCAGGGTAACCAAGAAGGGAAGATAGAAGGACACCACAGAAGAGTAGATAACAAAGTTGGGATTGGATATGGAACAAATACTGGGATCTTCTGAAGAGAGAGAGGGCACAACTTCAGAAACCATGAAAATTGCTTGGTATACAGTATAGGCTGCATCTTAGGGCAATCCTATAAGTTTATTGATAGAAATTAAGCTCCTAAAATGAAGCTCAGGATCTGCAGTTTCTCAGCTTTCCACAGTTAAGTAATGTCTGAGCAAAGAAGAGCCTGAACCGTCAAAGCACTGAATATTAATTGTTTCAAATCACAACAGTAGACACCAATCTTTGATGATAAAGCTTGTATTTCAAGATACTGTTACATTACCTGTGGTGTTGAAGCCAAAGAGAAGAGGGCAGGAAACAGCAAATGCCAGCAGCCAGACCATTGCAATCATAACGGAGACCCTCCTGCAAGAGCTGGGCCCTGTGCTGTACTGATAATGAACAGGCATAACCACTGCAGTATATCTGCAAGGTGAACCGACTCCAATGGAAGGGTGATGGAGAGGCCGTTGTTACAGGAAGTGTATGGGAAAGGAGGAAGTGTGTGTGTGTGTGTGTGACAGAGAGAGAGAGAGAGGAAATGAAGAAGGGAAGAGAATGTTGTGATCATAATGCAAGAGAGTGCCACAAGAACAGAAGAAATATGTTGGAAATAATAGTGGAGAGCGGAAAGAAGAATGTGGGATTAAATTATAGAGATGAACAAGACAAGCAGAGTGGGAAAGAGAGTGAAGAAGGGACAGAAAAGAACAACAGAGAAGTAGATAGTTACTTACAGCTAATGGGAAGTGAAATAAAGGCTTAGCCTAGTCAACTAACGAGGGTAGGAGACTGATGCTTTCTTCGCCTGTGTGTTTGTGTGTCTATGTTGTGTCTGTTAGGGGCTGTGGGAGCAGATCAACAACCAAGCTGTGGCCGCTTCAAGTCACATTGTGTAGAAGTTGTTCCCATCTAGGGAAGTGACCTCAGGCTGCATGGTAGGAACTGGCCAGACAGAGGGGTAAATGATGGATTCAAGGAAATACACTTAGGAGTTAGCAATATAAAATAATATAAAATCAGCCTTCAAAGACAGCAATTTTGAGTGGATTCGTGAGTGCTTAACTCTTCTTCACTGACCATTTGCCTGCTCAAAATCACCCATCTGGACCCCATGGGGGAAACAGCTGGGATGATTCTAAGCAGGGAAATAGAAATGGGGAAAGAGATATATGCCCTCTTCCTTCTATGCTGCTGCTTCTCTTGAAAAACCAGAGAGTCTGAAGACGGCTCCTCATTAAAAATAAAATAAAAGGGAGAGAGCAATTGCTCTAGATTCTATGGAATGCCTTTCCTGACATAGTCACCTGGTGCTAACCTTGGTTTCTTTTAAATGCCAGGCAGCAATTTTGTTATTTATTAGAGCTTTACAGTGCAATCCTAAAAAGTTACAGCCTTTTAAGTCCATTAAAGTCAATGGATTTAGAAGGGTGTAACTGTTTAGGATTAGTACAGTCCCACAGAACAGTGTTATCTTCTTTTAGGATTGTATTTTTAATCTACGATTTTTAGATCTTGGTGTGGTTTTTTAGAATTGTATTGTCTAGATTTATTTTTTTCTCGTGATTTTAAATGCTATTTTTTAGATATCCTGGACATCAGTACAACTGAAATCTGTGATACAATTTTTAAAAAGTAATACAACAAAAATTAATATTACTTGCGTACACAAGTAACGTGTAATTTGCCTCTGAGATCTGCTTTGCTTCAAAACTATAAAAACAATCACAGGCCCATTGATCATTCCCTGGACTTATTCTGCTACAAAGATACAAGTTGGGAAGTTGATGTGTGATACATGTCAGAACAATTTCACAATATATTGAGTTTAAAAAAAATAAATACAGCGTTTCAATTTAGTACATTCAAAAGGCAGCATAAAATAAAAGCATCCAAACAATATTATAGTGTAATATACATTTTTTAAAAAATCCTAATATTAAAAAATCAGCAAAAGTCTTACAGCAGAAAAAGAAGTAAATCCAGGGTTGCCAGGTCTGCATTGGAAAATACCTGGAGATGTGGGGGTGGAGCCTGAGGAGGGTGGGGTTTGGGGGGGGAGACTTCACTGGGGCATAGTGCCATACAGTTCACCTTCCAAAGTGGCCATTTTCTTCAGGTGAACTGATCTCTGTCACCTGGACATCAGTTTTAATAGCGGGAGATCTCCAGCCACCACCTGGAGGTTGGCAACCCTAAGTAAATCCCAAAGGCACCCCAATCAGCACCATCTTTGTTTACAAAACAGTGACAAAAAGGGATTTCCCCCATGGTTGTCTTTTTTGGGGGGGGGGGCATTTTTTGTGCAAAACTGGTTCAGTTTACCACCTGATTTCTGCACATATTTTTGTGCCTTTAATTTTCATTTCTTTTTTTCTGTTAGTTTTTCCATTTCTTTTGACACCACTTTCACCCCAATCTTTTCCTGGAAGCTGATTCTGAGGTGCCTTTTTCCTCATGTGTAATGTTTCTGTTGGTTTTCTTTGTCCTATGTACTCCCACAGATTCCTATGCACTCCCATGCACCTCCATCCCACTTTTTGATGATTGAAGAGGAGTTTTTATATCCCACTTTCCTCTGCCCTAAGGAGACTCAAAGCAGCTTACTATCTTCTTCCCTTCCTCTCCCCACAACAGGCACCTTGTCAGGTAGGTGGGGCTGAGAGAGTTCTGAGAGAACCCAGCAGGCTACATGTGGAGGAGGAGTGGGGGATTAAACCCAGTTCTCCTGATGAGAGTCCGCTGCTCTTAACCACTACACTATGCTGACTCTTGATTGGACTGTTGTCTGCATCAAATCACTCCCTCTCCTCCTCCCCTGCCCTGAAGACAGGCTTATATCATGGAGATACAAGGGGAAAGGCATATCTCCACAAGTGAAGGAGCTAGAGACTTAATTTTTAAAAATGAAAACTGGGAATTCAGGGAATCTGCTTAACCTATCATTACAGCAGTACATTGATATATTGATATTTTAGTGCCTTTTTAAAAAAATGCAGCTATGATTTCGATATATAAGCATGCACAAAAAATAAAGGGTGTGTGTGTTACTGTGATGCCACTGATGACGACAGCACCCTCCCTTGAAAATCCTCATTATTTAAGCCATGTGTGGAAGAAAATAATCTGGCTCCACAACTGTGAAAACACAGAGGGAGTGCAGGCGTGTAGAGGAACCAGGCCCAAACTGATTCCAGTGCTTTTGGATTGACTCCCAAGAAAATAAGGAGCAACTCAAGCATGCAGAAAATCCCAAAGGAAGGTAGACATGTATCCTGCAGATGAGTATTCCAGAGGACCAAAGCTAAAACAGAAAAGGCCCTGCTTCTTATACAAAGCAGTCCATATCAACTAAAACTTGAACTAAGACTTGGCTTGTCAAGTTTTGGCAAAGGTGTGACATGGCGCTCAATAAGCCGTCTTTACTACATAATAAGCCTAGCACATTCAACTTCAACCTGTTCCCCCAATATCAGAAAATCTCCACCTCCCATCCTACCTTACTATCATGACTCTTTAGTTCTTACCTGTCAATGCTGATAGCACAGAGATTCAAAATGCTGGCTGTGCACATCATTACGTCCATGGTTACAAATATGTCACAGCAGACACGGCTGAAATTCCAAACTCCTCCCGTCACCTGAATATTAATCACAAAGTGAAATGAAGACTAATATGCAGCAGTGACAGCTTCCTCCACAGAGTAGTGAAATTACTGAACAAACATCTCACGGACCTTTTGAGAGACAAATATGGTTATTCTCTGTGTCACAGACCAAAAAACCCTGTTCTGCCATATAGCACTTGAGAGGCTTGCCCACACCATCACAAAAGTGAAAGGAAAATGTAGGGACCATCCTTCCCACTGATGAAGGCAAGTGGGGAAAATAATAAGCAGGGGAAACTGGAATTTTAAAAATTCTATTCTGCAATATCACAACAAAGTAAATGCTATGGAAACTGAATTGCATCTGATATAGCATGTAGATAAGGAATAAGGAATAGGTATGTGGCACAACAAATAAAAGTTTTAGCTGTTGATTTGTTGTTTATAGGATAATCAGAAGGGGAGGGGACTGCCATCTTGCCTAGATTTCTGTCATACCAACATCCCGATTTCTTGAACTTTGAGCCACATCACACACTATTGTTGGAAGAAAAGGATGGATTCTAGAGGATAATGGCTAAAGACCTGGATAAACATACAGTACAATCCTAAACAGAGTAGCTTGTGCCCATCTTAAATGAAAGCTCCTAAATTCTAAAGTCCCCCCCCCATATTTCCTTTCTCACTGTGTGCTGCTTCAGTAGTCCGGTTAGGTAGAGAGGAAACAGGAGACAGACTGATTTCTACAAAGACTGCAGAGTGACTCTTCTGTTCAGAACATAAAGCAAGCTTGTCCTAGCACAAAATCAAATCATTGGGAGTACTCATGGAAATGCAGCAGGGAGCAGAAAGTAGATGAGTGCAGTCAGTCCCATCACAGTAAAGGCAATCAGACCATTTGCTGTGCCCTCCTAAAATGCATTACACCCTTCTACGCCTATTGATTTCAATGGATTTGGAAGGATGTGACTCGATTTAGGATTGTACCATGAGGTACTAAATTAACACAGGCTTACACTTAATTCACACTATGAAACACTGAGCCTTGGGTCCTATGGAAACAATTTTTGCCAACAGAAAGGAGGGCTGATTTTCACTGATTTGTTCCCTCATACTGCAGACTTCAGACTCCCTCCTCCCACATGCTGTTCCTGAGGTTTCCTGTCCATCAGCAGTAGCATTTCAGAAATCATTTCGGGATGTAATGGCAGAAGAGGAGCAAAGAAGTTCTTTTCCACTGATAGAAATTATGGGATCCAAACCTGTGACGACTTTAACCACAGAGTTTTGAGTTTATTTCCTGAGCTGCTGAGAACTCTACAAGGGTGTGAGGGGAAAGATTCTTAACTGCTCTTGTAAGTAAGGATAGGTACCAATGTATATGACTAGGCCCTCACTCACTTTGGACCTTAGGAATCCACAACCTCTCAGAGGATCTGTTTTTCAGCCAGTTAGTGGGGGTTTGTTCAGCCTATACTACTTTCCTGAAAATGTGATTTCTTTGATACTGGATTCCATCTCCTCCCAATTTTTGCGAGCAAAGAAACTTTTCAAAGAAAATACCTATCCAAGGCCCTGTTCACATGCATGAATGTCAGGCGGAGTATACGGGCGCGATCACAAGGACACATCTGGGAAGTGTAGCACACCCATCGCCAACCCGTAGCATCCGCCCAAAGATGGAATACCTATGTGTGATCGCTCAAGTGTGCTCCTCTTGCCGTGTTGACGCGTGCCAACAAACAAAACCCCACTTTGCTGCTGCAGCATCTGATCACGTTCTGGCGTGTTAAATTGCTCCGGCATGAAAAGCCATGCCTCCCCCCCACCCCGCGTTATCTGGCCCGTGTGACCGGGGCCTAAATCCATTACTTTCCCTCTTATGCAATTCTGTTAATCTGCCTTTTAAGAATGAAGCTCCGGGCGACCCGGCAACGCCGCTGGTTGCCGGGGGCTGTTTTGCCGCCCCGAGGAAGGCGGGCAGCAACAGCCATGATGCCTTGCATCGTGACATGGGCAGGGGGCGGAGCCAGCTTGGATAAGCCACCTGGCTCTGCTCCCGCCAGAGGAGAGTTGCTCCGACGTGCTCGCCCACCCTCCTGCCCTGTTCTTAGTGTAGGCTACGGCCGGTTGCCTATTGGGGCCAGGTAGGAATTTTTCGCTTTTACCCAATATTGGCTGAATGGGTGGAGGTGTCTTTGCCTACCTTGCACTGGGAGCAGTGGAGGGAATAGTTGGTGGTGGGTTGACACCTAAATAGGCTGGTCACTTGGCAGGTTGATGCGGGCAAGAAACCGGAACCGGTGAGCACCTTATGGCATTTTCCCCATTAGGGAACAGGGGGGTCATCAGGAACTGCCTTCGGATTTCCAAAGTCCAGGGTGGGGAATGGTGATCACCTCCTCTGGGAACCTCTTAGGGTATGCTCCTCTCTGCAAGCTGCAAGGCTTCAGGGGTAGGCGCTCCTAGGTGGCGACCAGTTTGCTGGGCTGCTGGTCATGAGCCAGACCGATGGCTTTGGACCGGAGCTGGGTGACCCGCCCGAGAAAAGGGCAAGGAGGTTGGTCAGGGGAGTGACACCTGCCTTGCCTGTTCCGTGCTCGCTTAGCTGGTCCCTTGCCGCAATGTTGTGTTAAATAGTTAATAAAGTGGCCCTTGTTTACTTACAAACTGTTGTCTGTCCGTTATTCCCTCTGGGGGGGGGGCAACAGAGTCTGCACTGTGAGGTAAGAAGCAGATTATTTCACTGAGTTGGCTTCTGAGGGGCTTAATTTACCTTCAATGGTTTTCATGAAAAAAAAAATCACTAAGTTGTACCATGACCAAAAGAAGGTTCCTGAGGCAATAGAAGGCCTAGCTGAAAGCAATTTAAAATACTGAGTACACACATAAAATAGGACCGTGATTCAGTGATACATCACATGAAGCACTGGCTGTTGGCCTATGGAAATGACTTGCAGAGAAATGGGAGATCTCTCTGCTTGTCACTGGTTTTCAATAATAACAATAAATAGTAAATTTGAATGAGTGATTGAAAGAGGCATCATCTGTTCAGTTGTCCTTATTAGTTCTATAGCCCTGGGTTTGATTTGCTCATCATTATTCATTATTGTTTTGTTTCGTGCCAGCTTTACCATAGCGAGAGGTCCTAGTCTGTTATTAGACAGAGATTTGTTGCTGTACCATATAAAAAGCCCCAATTTGCTACTTGGATATAAACAAACCAACAAAAGATAAAACTAGAACATGCTTATTAGAATGTCAATAACCCCTCCCCACAATATTTTGCCAGGCCCAGAGCGATTTTGCATCTAAATAGCTTGTCTCTCACTGCATGCCTTTAGAAAATCAGACTTTGATAACATTATGCTCCAGTTCCAGAGGGGCAGTTGTGTTGATCAATTGTAGTCTTGGGGCACCTTAAAAACTTAACGGATTTTTCTTGCATAAACTTGCTTGGATTTGAGCCCACTTTGTCAGATGCCATTCCTTGGCACAGAGAAATGTAAAACTTATGAAGGAAAACGTTGAAGATAGTAGGGTAAAAGGGCTACAAATTGCAGAAAATACAGGATGTGATATAATTGTATAAAATTAAAATGTAAATAAGGCCATTCTCAGTAGCAGTAACTGGTGAAAATTAATTTCCCTAGTTTAGCCAAAACCAATCAACACCTAGAATGGCAGAAGAAACCCCAGATCATTGTTCAAACCTCAGACAATGCATTCAGAGGCTTGATGAATTCTAATTCAACAGTTTCACATTGGAATTGCCCTTTGAAATTATTTTGTTGGGAAATGGTGGCTTCTAAATCAGTAACAGAGCATTGTGGGAGAGTGAAGTGTTCTCCCAGTGATTTCTGAATGCTCCCACTTTTATGTCAGAATTGTGTCAATTTCTCCCTTTATACAGAAAACTGTTTGTCCTATGTGGAGAGCAGAAGTGCACTGTTGTCATGTGGTTTTATTTATCACACTGCAGAATGGAAATGTGGATATTATCAAGCCTTGCAATATATTAGGGTTGCCAGCACTTGGGGCAGAAATACCTGGAGATTTGTTTTTTGGGGGGTAGAGCCTGGGGAGGGCATGGTTTGGGGAGGGGAGGGACTTCAGTAGGATAAAATGCCATAGAGGCTACCCTCAAAAGGAGCCATTTTTTGTGGGGGAACTGATCTCTATTGCCCGCAGATCAGTTGTAATAGCAGGAGATCTCCAGGCCCTACCTGGTGGTTGGCAACCCTAGCAATATTGGGACAGATTGGCATCTGGCTTTGTTGCAGAATACAGTTCCAGAGTTTATGTCTCCCTTAGGTTATTAGGTGTCATGTTGCTGTTGGCAAGAGGCTGTTTTAGATTAGGGGCATATACGTAAGCAAGGAAAGGCCTACCACCTGAGGCCTATGAGAAAGAAGCCCAGGTCAGGCTGTAGACCATTGATGATCCATTTGACTGACTTGAGCTGAGAGCTGTAACTGACTGCCAGTGGTATTCTGTTGATATCGCTTTTGAATCTGTCTGTAGCAGACTATTTCTGGGTATCAGTCTTATTTGGTCAGTCTTTTTCACTCAATCTGTTTAGTATTGTAATCCCAAGAATGCCTAATATAGATCTCTCAAATGGGAGCTTCTGTCCAAGGAATTGAAGCAGTTGCGCTGGTGATTCCTGGCCCAAAAGATATCCAGCTGTTCTCCACCAAAGCCAGGGCCTCAGTGCAGTTCCGCAGGGCCTGCAAGACAGAGATGTTCTGCTGGGACTATGGTTGAGGACAGCAATGGTTTGTCTTTGAGCTTGGCCTCCTCTACTCCTCCCCTCCCCCCCTTCATGGGGAAGGGTATAAATTGATATCCAGCACCATCTGAATTAGTTGTGATTGTTATTGTTTTAACTATTTTAACTGTTTTAAACTGAATTTAACTATTATTGATTAATTCAGTGTTTCCTCTAAGCTTCACAGTGCTGTGAGCAGAAATTCTACCTCGTGGGCGAAAAAAGTTAGTAGCATTAAAGTTGTGAGCCCACCCAAGTCTAC